ACCTTCTACCAATGCACGGATATAGCCGTACAGAACCTAAAGATCCAAAACGCGCAGCAAATGCACGTGTCCTTCGACAAGTGCACGAATGTCGTAGCTTCGAAACTCATAGTGAATTCTCCAGAAAACAGCCCAAATACTGATGGAATTCATGTCACCGACACTCAACACATCCAAATTTCCAGCTGCACCATAGGCACAGGTACTTTTATGTATGCATATGTGGATATAAATGCAGCTTAATCTAAAATAAATCAAAGGATAACTAATAAATTAGTTACATGCATGCCTAACTATATAATTGCATACTGTGAAGGTGATGACTGCATCTCGATTGTAGACGGATCGAAGAATGTCCAGGCCACGGATATAACTTGCGGGCCCGGCCATGGCATCAGGTACATATTCAAAACCCACAATTAGTTCTGAAATATTGAGGAATTAATTATTATCATTACAATAGTAGTTATAAATGTCTTGTTTCTTTAGTATTGGAAGCTTAGGCTCTGGAAATTCCAAAGAGTATGTTTCAGATGTTGTGATCAATGGTGCTAAGCTTTCTAGCACCACAAATGGAGTTAGAATCAAAACATGGCAGGTAATTTATTAACTTCTGGTAAATTTTATTTTTAATTTTAATTTTTGTATTATTTAGGTAATTTACTAATTATATGTGACCAATTATTGTATTTATTTGGTACACAGGGAGGGTCTGGAAGTGCAAGCAACATAAAGTTCCAGAATATAGAGATGGAAAATGTTGAGAACCCAATAATCATAGACCAGAACTATTGTGATCAAGACAAGCCCTGCCAAGAACAGGTTTTTTCAAAAAATTAAAANAAAAAAAAAAAAAATATATATATATATATATATATATATATATACAATAACGAATAATAATATTCCATTTCCTATTAATTGTGTATAAAATTTCTTGTTACATTTCAGGGTTCAGCTGTACAAGTGAAGCATGTGGTTTATCAGGATATCAAGGGTACAAGTGCTACTGAGATAGCTATCGACTTGGACTGCAGCGAAAGCCATCCGTGCCAAGAAATATACATGAGCAACGTGAATTTAGTCGCCAAAAATGGCGAAAGTGCTAAAGCATTTTGCAAAAACATTGAAGTCGCAAACTCCGAAACACTTTCGCCCAAGTTCTTGAGCGGTTTGATTTCGCCTCGTTGCCCTAACATGTAATAGTTAAAGCATGTTTTCTAGGCCTGTTGAAAAATAGGTTCTTTTGTTCTGTTTAGTGCACATTATAGACTGATTGAATATAGGTCATATGTTGTCTTTTATTTTACACCCCTCTATTTAGTCTCTTAAAGCAGGTTCGAAAGGTGGCTTTTTAAGGGAATTCTTTTCTTTCATAGGTCTGTTAGGACCGATGTAGAAAATATTTAGAATAGTTATGTTATGTCATTCATTTGAAGTGTGCAATAACATAGTTTATGATCTCATGATCTCAAATAAAATCCTCATGGTATTGTATTCTTAATTGTAGTGCAATGTGATTACTACTATTTAAGAGCAATTTTCGGAACAAAAACAACATCAAAACTAAGAGCAATATATTGTATCCAATATATCATAACCACAAAATTCAAATAGACTTGTCATAGTTTATACGAAGCATAATATATCATATGCTGGTAAGACAAATTACACCTTTCTAATTGCTATCACAGACCAACCGAACAATAACTTGTGCCAACTGCCTAGCATATATTCTGCATATTTGGTAGGGTGACATTTTGCTGTAATTGCAAAAGGGTTCATTTTCCTTCCCCTTTTGCTTTTCTTTTATCTTATTACAACACAATAGTTTTGGAAAATTACAGAAGAAAATCGGTTTTGAACTTATCTAGAGTTTGGCGTACTTTTTGAAACCTTGAGCAGCCTCCTTTAATGAATCTGGCACAGGCAAGTTACAAAGAAGAATAACTCTTGAAGAAGAAATCAATGTTTTTGTCTCTGAGTTCGAAGGATCGCATTTTGATAAGCTCACTTCCCAGACCTGAACAA